AGCCATTGACACTTCTTCAAAAGTAATCTTAAAAACATGAGTATAGTCTTTTATCTTAATGACTTCTTCAATCTTCATCCACCTGTTTTGGCGTTCCAGTTCATCTTTCAGGTCTTCAGATGTCTTCCTCCCGATCTCTTGGTCGACTTGACGAACGAAAACTGATCTTTTTGCTTTTTGTTCTGGTGGCATGACAACAACAAGGCCTTCATTGTAAAATATATCTCTGGCTTCTTTTGAAAGGATTTTATCTGAATCAAAGTCATCTTTACAGATTACTTTAAAACCTTCATTGGTGCTGAATATTCTTGTTAGTGGGACTTGCAATTTGTTGTAAGTGATTTCTGCCACTTTTCCCCTTCCAATAGAGTGTCCCTTATCTCTATGTTTTATTCTAATGCTTGTTGTCATCTTCTTGATTACATCTAATCCTACCTATAACACAGGGCTCCTGCCTGGGAGCAGTGACCCCGCCCCCCCCTCTTGGACGGGGGTCGGGCTCGTAGGGTTCTGCACCCAGGTTACCTGTGACTATAGTTATGTCTAAGAAAGTTGCCACCTACCGGTGACCCCCGGACAAGGGGTGCCCTGCACTATCACAGGTTCCCTTGCCGGATCGACCGTATCGCTAAGTCCCGCCTCCCGTTCAAAGAACGGAGTGCATGAGGGGGATGAAAAAAGGAAAGAAGAGGACTTAGAGAGTAGAAACAGCCTACCTACCACGCCACGTTCGGTTAGCCAATCAGAGCACCGCAGTAAACGTGCATGTATCACGCCACCGTGGGGCACCACTGATTGGCCAATCCAGGACGTAGACGCACGAGTAGTAGTCAAAATTTGGGGAGCCCAAATATTTGTTTTCCAGAAGTTGGAATTTTCCGTACAATCTGTGATGGTAATTACACCGTCACTATGTTGAGTAAGTACAATCACTAGGATTGAGTGTCCTATCACAACAAAGTTGCAGACTGCTCAAACATGCAGCAAAAGAGGCAGGTCTTCGCAGCTCCGGGTCCAGCAGTGTTCACTGTGACCGGGGAATGCTAACCACTGGACCACCAGGATACTAAAAGCAGTCCTAGACTTTGTTATATTTCACACAAAGCCTGTTCAACGAGCTTAAGGCGCCGTGAACCTCTAATGGGGACTACCTTTATCATATAGGTGGTCAGAGTAACGTTTTACCATATCCGGCTTCGAAACACGAGGATCCATATGGGTAATCCACTCTCACCTGTATTAAGCAACCTATATGTGGAATTCTTTGATACTGGGATCAGCAGTGACATAAGCAAGTTTGCGGATGACACCAAAATAGGGCGGCAGATTAATTCAGGGCAGGATGCAAATGCATTACAGGAGCATCTAAATAAACTGCAGGGGTGGTCTGAAAAATGACAAATGAAATTCAACACCAGCAAGTGCAGTGTACTTAATATTAGAAGAACAAATACTGATAATGTATACAGCCTTAACAACATCAACCTAGAGAAGTCGACTTGTGAAAGAGACCTAGGGGTACTTGTAAGCCCGGACCTACGGCCTAGAAAACAGTGCGTTAATGTTCGAAATAAGGCAAACAGAGTATTGGGTTTTATATCTAAAAGTGTCAGTAACAAGAGTGCAGAGGTCTTATTGCAACTATATCTTGCGCTAGTCAGGCCGCACCTCGATTATGCGGTTCAGTTCTGGTGCCCTTGTTGTAGAATGGATATAAATTCACTAGCGTCGGTGCAGCGAAGAATGACAAAAATGATTCCGGGACTTAGAAACCTTCCATAAGAGGATAGGTTAAAGAAACTTAACTTGCATTCCCTAGAAAGACGAAGAGTGCGGGGAGATATGATAGAAGTATTTAAGTGGGTGAAAGGAATCAATAAAGGGGATAGGGATAAAGTTCTTATAATATCCGAGCAGGATAGGACTCGGAGCAACAGATTCAAGTTGGATAAGTTTAGGTTTAGGAGGGAGATAGGAAGAAACTGGTTCACAAATAGGGTGGTGGACGAGTGAAACAAGCTTAGCAGCTTTGTAGTAAGTGCAGGAACTCTGGAAAGTTTCAAAAGGAGGCTAGATAGATTCATGGATGATAGAGAGTGGTAGTAACTCTCGACAGGAGCTGCCATGCACAGGCCAACCGGCCTATTGCAGACTCTTTATTTTCTTATGTTCTTATGTTCTTAAGATAAACTATTAAGTAATATTTTACCACCTTCATCAGTCTGGTTTAGATATGTAGATGATGTGTTATGTCTCTGGCCATGTAATGAGGACCTAGAAGCTTTCCTGCCACAACTTAACAACTTAGCCCCCTCGATCAAATTCACTGTGGAATTAGAGCATGACTGTAAATTGCCTTTCCTAGACTGTCTGATCCACAGAATAGGTAACACGTTTAAGTTCATTATTTATAGGAAACCTACTAATGTGTGTTCATACATTCATTATTATTCTGCCCACCATAATAGAGTCAAACAGTCAGTATTTTCAACAATGTTTTTACGTGCTTTGAGAATTTGCAGCCCGGAATTCATTGACGAGGAATGTAAATATATCTATAATATTGGCTTGAAACTTAAGTCCCCTAGATCTTTCATAGACGAATGCCTTAACATTACTAAGAAATCTTTCTATAGAACCGATCCCAAGCTCACCCATGGCCATAAGAATATCTTAGTATTCCTATTTCACAAAAATTTCTCTCAAATTCCTTTACAACTAAAAACCTGAAACGTCAATGTGGCATTTAAAAACACATGCACTGTTAAACAAATGTTAATCAAGAATTCCCCCAACAACAGAGTATTAAAGGAATGTAAGGAAGAGCTTAGTATGCCCTTAGCAAAGTTGTTTAACATGTCCTTAAAAACAGGTGTAGTACCAGAATCCTGGAGGATAGCGAATGTAATACCGATTTTCAAGAAGGGGGATAGATCACTATCCTCTAACTACCGCCCAATCAATCTAACATCAATAGTAGGCAAATTACTGGAAGCAATCATTTCAAACTCTATTCGAAATCACCTGGAGAAGCACCGATTGATCAATGATTCCCAGCATGGCTTCACAAGCGGACGTTCTTGCCTAACTAATCTATTAACATTCTTTTCATCAGTTTTCGAATCGGTGGACGGGGGGCACAATTATGATGTGGTATATCTCGACTTTAGCAAAGCCTTCGACAGAGTCCCCCACGAAAGACTAATTAGAAAGGTAGAAGCTCATGGCATCAAACGTGACATCCTTAAATGGATTAGGGCGTGGTTACAGGACAGGAAACAGCGAGTGAGCATTAACGGCACTAAGTCCCATTGGAGCAACGTCACAAGTGGAGTTCCCCAAGGCTCAGTACTTGGACCATTATTATTTATCATATACATAAACGATATAGATATCGGCATAGACAGCAACATAAGTAAATTTGCTGATGACACTAAAATAGGACGTGTTATCAAATCTGACGAGGACTCGGCAAAACTACATGAAGATCTAAACAAATTTTTCGAATGGTCTGAAAAATGGCAGATGAAATTCAACGTCGACAAATGTAAAGTACTCAGTATAGGAGATGTAAACAGGGAAACCAGATAACAGATGAACAACGATGCCATAGAGAAATCCGACTGCGAGAGAGATTTAGGAGTAATGATAAGTAGGAACCTTAAGCCAAGTAAACAATGTGTTTTTGCTCGTAACACGGCTAATAAAGTACTTGGGTTCATACAAAGGAGTGTTAGTTACAAGACTAGCGAGGTCATCCTAAAACTGTAGCTTGCTCTTGTGAGACCACACCTGGATTACGCAGTTCAGTTCTGGTCACCTTATTACAGAATGGATATAGAATCCTTGGAAAGAATTCAGAGGAGAATGACAAGACTAATCCCGGGCATTAGGAACCTTGAGTATAGAGACAGGTTAAAGCATCTTAATTTGCACTCCCTTGAGAGACGTAGAGCGAGGGGCGACCTGATTGAGGTGTATAAGTGGAAGGCAGGGCTAAACAAAGGGGACATTACAAAGGTACTCAAATTATCCAACCAGGAGCGAACTCGTAACAATGGTTTTAAATTAGACAAATTTAGATTTAGGGGTGAAATAGGTAAACACTGGTTTGGAAACAGAGTAGTGGATGAATAGAACAAGTTACCAAATATCATCATTAACTCGAATACGCTGAATAGCTTCAAACATAGGTTGGATGCTCATATGAGCAATAGGGGTTGGGTGTAAACGGGACTGCCCAGTATGGGCCAATAGGCCCGCTGCAGTTTCCTCCATTCTTATGTTCTTATGTTCTTAATACAAGTGGCTGCATTTATAAAGTTCCTTGCAAGGAATGTAATATGTTTTACTTAGGCCAGACAGGTAAAGATCTTGCAACTAGAATTAAACAACACAAATACAGTGTTAGGACAGGCCAGGAATCCAATGCTCTGTTTGTTCATTTTAGGGATAACAAGCATTGCATTGACTGGGATAATGCCTCCTCAATATTACCATGTAATTCAATTGATAGTAGGAACATCATAGAATCTAGTCTTATTAAACATACCGAAACATTCAACATGAATTTGAGTAACGGCATGTACAAGCTGGACAATTTTGTAATTAAGAAGATTTGTAACCAGGTGAGAAGGCCGGGTCACCTGACCATCTGACCTGACCACCAACCGTTGTGTGCTATTTAAAGATTAGTAGGGTCATTACCTAATACCTGACCATTGTGGACCTGGTCTCACCCTCCTCTGTATATATACACCTTGATTCGTATTTCTCTCTGTAGTCTGTACTCACCCCTGAAGATGTGAATTACACGAAAGCGCTTGGGAACTTCGTGTTTTCTTCTTTCCTTGTGGTTATCAGTATGTATCTAGATCAAGCGCACCTACAGTGATTTACTTGCATATATATATATATATATATATATATATATATATATATATATATATATATATATATATATATATATATATATATATATATATATATATATATATTACCTTTGTGATATCTGAAGTGTCCTCACGGATGCAAGTCTTTGGTAAGTGACTTGATCAACTCCAACGGAGCTGAACATCATATAGAAGCCGTATACCAGAGTAGACAGTAGAGTGTGACGCTCGTAGGGGCTTGTGTCAAGACTGTGGAAAAGTACACAACATTAATCCATCAGTTTTATTTTCACTCAGAATTTTTAGGCAGGTGAGAACCTGAAGGGGTACCAGCTAGTGTAATAAATTTTTGGGCTTTCACAAGCACAACTCGAGTATAGATCCCTGATCGTAGTACTTCGCTTCATGTGTCACCACACACTCTGGAGGTGTAATGTGAAGTATCTAATTTTATAGGAAGAACAATTGTGGCGTCACGGAGCCATCATAGGACACTGTGATGCACCTAGAGGACATGCTATCTTTTTCAGTATCTAGAAGGAGTCAAAGTTATTCTCCTTTGTTAGTGCTCAATGAAAAACAGCAGATTTGCATTGGAGATTCAGATTGTGAGAATTGAAATGATGCAGACTTTGGCAGGACGTGGGGACCTCCCCATCAACTAATGATCCTGTGGCACTAACCAAAGTCGGATGAGTGGTGATTTATTCCTTAAGTCAGATATAATGTCTCTGGGCTGCCAGATATTTTGCCTTAGTCCTACCAGATATAATAATTATAACAACCACGACTATGATCATAACCACAACCATGATTATAACAACCACGACCATGATTATAACAACCACGACCATGATTATAACAACCACGACCATGATTATAACAACCACGACCATGATTATAACAACCACGACCATAATTATACCAACCACGACCATGATTATAGCAACCACGACCATGATTATAACAACCACGACCGTGATTATAACAACCACGACCGTGATTATAACAACGATGCCCACGAATATAACAACCACGACCATGATTATACCAACCACGACCATAATTATACCAACCATGACCATGATTATAGCAACCACGATCGTGATTATAACAACCACGACCATGATTATAACAACCACGACCATGATTATAACAACCACGACCATGATTATAACAACCACGACCGTGATTATAACAACCACGACCATGATTATAACAACCACGTCCGTGATTATAACAACCATGCTCACGAATATAACAACCACGACTATGATCATAACAACCACGCCCATAATTATACCAACCACGACCATGATTATAGCAACCACGACCATGATTATAATAACCGACCATGATTATAACACGTGATTATGTAACCACGACTGTGATTATAACAACGATGCCCACAGATAACAACCGACCATGATTATAACAACCCGACCATGACTATAACAACCACGACCTTGATTATAACAACCACGACCATGATTATAACAACCACGACCATGACTCTAACAACCACGACCATGAGTATAACAACCACGACCATGACTATAACAACCACGACCATGATTAAAACAACCACGACTATGATTATAACAACCACGATCATGATTATAACAACCACGACCATGATTATAACAACCAGGACCATGATTATAACAACCACGACCATGATTATAACAACCACGATCATGATTATAACAACAACGACCATGATTATAACAACCACTACCATGACTATTACAACCAGGACCATGATTATAACACCTATGACCATGATTATACTTACCACGACCATTATTACAACAACCACGACTATAATCATAACCACGACCATGATTATGACATCCACGACCATGATTATAATAACCACGACCGTGATTATAACAACCACGACCATGATTATAACAACCACGACCATGATTATAACAACCCGACCATGATTATAACAACCACGCAACCATGATTATAACAACCACCATGATTATAACAACCCACGACCGTGATTATAACAACCATGCTCACGAATATAACAACCACGACTATGATCATAACAACCACGACCCGATTATACCAACCACGACCATGATTATAGCACGACCATGATATATGATTATAACAACCACGACCATGATTATAACAACCACGACCATGATTATAACAACCACGACCGTGATTATAACAACCACGACCATGATTATAACAACCACGACCGTGATTATAACAACCATGCTCACGAATATAGCAACCACGACTATGATCATAACAACCACGACCATAATTATACCAACCACGACCATGATTATAGCAACCACGACCATGATTATAATAACCACGACCATGATTATAACAATCACGTCTATGATTATAACAACCACTACCATGATTATAACAACCACGACCATGATTCTAACAACCACGACCATGATTATAACAACCACGACCGTGATTATAACAACGATGCCCACGAATATAACAACCACGCCCATGATTATAATAACCACGACCATGATTATAACAATCACGTCTATGATTATAACAACGACTAAAATGATCATAACAACCACGACTATGATTATAACAACCACGACCATGATTATAACAACCAGGACTATGATTATAACAACCACAACCATGATTATAACAACCAGGACCATGATTATAACAACCACGACCATGATTATAACAGCCATTCGATCATTAACAGACTGTGCGACACCGGCTCTTAACACACTGTCTGAGTGGCAGTGTGAGAAATTGGAGGTTGCCTAGAATAACGCTGTGAGAGTCACTGTCAAGGCACCTATGTGGACAAAAATTGAAAACTTACACATGGAGACAGGTCTCACATCTCTCCAAACCAGGACGGAACGATTAACAGCGTGCTTTGCAACAAAACTGATTACCAAAGCTCAGGAAAGTGACATCAAGAATGGACTCTTACGAGCATTAACAGAGATGTCTTTAACAAGAAAACATGGCTATTGTGCGCAGCTGAAGCTGTAAATCGACTGGAAGTGAAAGACACAATCCTCAGCAAGGGACCTGATACAATGAGTCCAGACTACAGCACCTCAGCACCGTGGGAGTCCCCGCCATCAGTCTTTAACATTCTACAAACTGGGACAAGAAAGGCTGACTGTAACCCACAAGAGCTCCGACAGGTAGCAGAGAGAAACATGAAGGCTCTAACACCACACAAAAGTACAGTGTATTACACAGACGGTTCAGTAGAGCCTGTAGGTTATGTACCTAAGCTACTGTGCCAAGTAGCAACCTTGTATATAAGCTACTCTGCCGAGTAGCATTTATATATGTAATTACGTGGCAACACTGCACGTGTTATGTGGCACATTGCCCCGAGGCTGCCATATGGCAATGCAGCCTCAGTTTGGCTCCGTGGGTCGTGCAAGGCACACGCTAGTCACTACTTGTATTTCTTTTATCAGTTAATAAATGAACATCAGTGTTACCCAGTGTTTTCCTACCCATCACTGCCTTCTTCAGGGAACACTTGGAACCTTCATGGCTCAGTGAGTAGGATTTGTTGACTTACAAGTGCAAAAAAAATGGCGACTGCCGGCGATGTGCGCATCGACTCTTAGTGTGTTGTGTTGCGTTGTGATTCGCCGCGATGTGCAGTGTTGCGCAGTCACAGTGCGTTTTAGTGACGGTGGCAGTGTTAGTGTCAGTGTATTAGTGTGTCCAGAGCTGAGAGTTGAGCATTGGCCTGTTTTTTGTGGTACCCACGGAGCACGCAGGCGTATACCCTCCTCGTGTGACATCCGCGGAGACACTAACGTCTTACCTCCGCGGCGGCTTTAGCCGCCGGCATTAAGGCCATCACGATCTGCTCTCTCAGACACACACAAACACACACACGCACGCATGCACTTACGGACAGAACAGTGGAATCTATGCATTATTTCTGCACTTTTTACGTCATATACATGTGGTTCGCGCTGATGAGGCGCCACTTTATATACTAAACAGCGCAGTTAAAGCATACTAAGATGGGTGGTAAGAAGGGACAACGTCAAGATGGGAGACACGACTCCCCACCTTCCCCTCTACCGGGCGCAGAAGCTCCCTCTCATCCTCCACCTCCAGCGACGGACATTGCCACAATTCTGAGGTGGATGGACGACAGGGACGAGAGACGCAGAGAGATGGAACTTCAGAGGGAGGAGATACGAAGAGAGGAGGAAAAGGCGCGCTTTGATGCGATATTGGCGACCCTGGTGCTAACCCACCCTCACTCACTCGCAGGTAGTGCGCACCAAGGCGCCAGTACCCTTCCTCTTCCACCACACCAGCTTCCTCCAGGCACTCTTGCTACTCCAACAGCTCCCAAGGCATCTGTTCAACCCCCACCCGCCCTCTCACCAGACGTCACGTTTCAGCCTTTTCGAGAGTGGAGGCGGCGGTGGACAGATTACTCCACGATGGTGGACCTTGATAGCATTCCTCCAAACAAACAGCTCATCCAACTGCGGATGTGTTTGTCGCTGGGGACCCAGAGAGTTTTGAAACACACGTTGCAAGTGCCTCCCGATTCTACGTCTTCAATGACAGATGTGCTCGACCTTTTGCAGGAGCACTTTAAAGGTCAGTGTCACAGTGAAGTCAGTTGGTGCAGGTATTGTGGCGATTACCGAGGCCTGGCAAATTGTTCCTGAGATCTGTGCCATAGAAAACTATGAGTTATTTTACCATCTTAGAAAGGACAGGAGAGGTGGTGGTGTAGTTCTGTACTGTCGCACTGCGACACTACACCACTGCGACAGTGTCGCAGTGACCTCAAACCATCAACCCTAGGTGTTAATGTACCTGAAGATGTAGAATAGGGTTGGTCATTTTTTCACACTTTTTTAAAATTGTGGGTGGGGGTGTTTTTTCCCATTTTTTTGTTACTCCTGAATTCATTGGTGCCAGAAATAATGAAATCCAACATGTTCTAGGGGTCGCGAATCCAAATATAAAAAATGAATTTTTGCGAAAAAACGTCAAAACTCAAGCTTTTTCTCTTATAGATCAGCAATCGCGCTGCTTTTCACTACTTAACCCTAATGGCTGGCTAGAGCAGCTATTCAGCTTTCCATTGACACCTAATTCGATTGCATGCACCTCTTATTTGACCTTCTAAGTCAGGTCAAAGGCTGTAGCCTACCTGCGTTAACGGAGTTATAAATTCACTAGGTTCACATTGGCAGCTTTAAAACCCTGCGCTTCTTTGCAGTGTT